GTCACTGAGGTTGCCATTATTATTGGTAATTTGTCTGTCGAAACTGAAGATGATGCGTTGTGATCCCTTTCTTCTGCCATGTTGCTTGCATCTCCATCACAGATGATCTCATTCAGTTTCAGCACGTTTGCTGTGAACTGAAGATAGAAGTTCCAACATTTCTCATAATCGGTCCATGGAAAATTCGGTGTATCATCTTTACAATCTTTGAAGTCACTGTCATTGAGGTAGTTCTGGCTGATATTGAGATAAAGAACATTTTCAACTGTACGATGTTGATAGATCATCCAGTCTACGTGCTTTTTCATCACAGCGACCAAATTTCTTTTGTCGGAATTTTTTATTGTCTGTATTTTTGCCCTCATTTCCTCCCTTTTATTTATTAAAATGCGCAAGGTGCTATTTTGCTCGTCTATCAAAGCTGCCCAAGCAATTATCTTATTTTGGATGCCTAATATCTCTTCTGTCCTGTCGATGAGAGCACCTTTACCATTGTCTAAAGAAGAAGCAAAACTCACCAGCACCACTAAAAGCAAGGCCACAACAAACATTCGGTTACAATTACACATATTTACGAAACGTATACGGAGTAGCTCGAACTGCTTCCTCTGCCCCGACTGAGAGTTATGTTGTAATGTTGGTCACTCAGCTCATTATACAGTTTGACTTGCTGTACCCTGCTTAGTTCAACAGAGTTATACACATGAAGTGACATCATTATAGTGGTTTACTGGTATCCTACTCATTTACTACTAACTCTGTGATTCTGTAGTAAACTACGTGACGGTACGATGACACCCTGACTGCTGACATTAGCAGCTTTAGATTGTAGTGTGGTATTCTTCTGTTTCTGGATGTCACTGCGTTTACTATTGTTTAATAACAGCGAGAGGGTATAAACTGGGTGTAAAGTGAATTGTATGGAAATTGGAAATCGGGATATTCAGAATACGGTATCAAAACTTGGCCAAAGAGTGTGATATATATTGAATTTTTAGTAAGAATCTCGTATGTCAATGACACTTGATAATTTGTAAAGTTCTAAGCTGAAAAAAGCTGAATAGTCAATTGTTATATTGATTGAGCCTGTCAATAGAATGCACGGAGTAAATTTTTGAATACCTATTTTAAAGAATTTTTAACAATTTAGGTAGTGTTCGTAATTTCCTTGTTATTTGTGATACTTTTATAGAAGAAATGATAGGAACAAAGTTAGGCAAAACTGTAAAAATCATTTAAAAACATCCAAAATTCAATCCATTTAATTATTTATCACACAAGCGAAATAATACTATAATACGAAGTATGGCATCAGATTTATAAAAAGTAAGCACACGATACTGTCTTTAATGATTGACATTCTCTATCAAATATCTGTTCCTATCTCAATCAAATCAAAAAAATATATGATTTACATCGTCCCTTTTTAATTATGCATAGCAAAACTTCAATTTCCAAATTGTTGTAGGTTTATTGGGATTCAAATGAGTGCTGTTTGCTTTCTTCTGTATAGTAATCAACTCGCAGATCCGATTTTGATATTCGCCTGAAACATGAACGGTTCATTACTATGTGATCAAATTTCAAACTTAAATTTCAACTGATTTATGAACTTATCTACTGAAGTTCCAAACAAATTTTACACTCTAGTCTCCACTCAAACAATGTTGATGATTGTTACTGATTCAAATTATCCCTACTTACCTTCTGTTAAACTCTGACATAACTTCTGCTCAATTCGTCTGGTCTCCAGCACCCTCCTCCTCAATTAAAGCGTCACCGTCTGTTGTATCACAGTCTAGTCCGGTGTCTGTTTCTAGCAAAACTCTCGTTATCATGTTCAAAGTAGGTTGGTTCGTCAGGGTCTGATTCAAGTCCAGATTGCAACTGTATCTTTTGCTGATCGGTCTCTCTTTAGGCGGTCGTGTTATCATAAGCGTGTTAAGTACTCCTGTTTCTATATCTTTCTCTGTGGATTTACTGTTCCTGTTTAAGACTGCGTAGCTTCCCTCCGCATAGTCACCATTAGCTGCTGCTTCACTTGACTCTAGCTTTACTTTATCAATCGTGCTGTACTCTTCCACGAGGATCTCCTCTATAGAAGTCCTCATCAATTCTTGGTCAGGTTGCAGTTTCAAGGTGTGGTTCAGTGCTAGATTACAAGTGTATTGTGTTTCTAGTGGTTTCTTGTCTGCTATTAATATTCCAGTCTCGTTCATTAATGATAGACTAGACTGTCCTACTTCTAATTCTCCCTTCTCATCCACAGCACTACCACCTTCTTCAGTCAGACAGAATGTGTCGTACTCTCCCTCAATCTCCCTCCCCTCTTCTGGTGCTACTTCTTCAGCCAGGCAGAACGTGTCGTACTCTCCCTCCTCCTCCTCTGCAGGCTGATCTTCGTGAGCTAGAGTGTTGTACACATTGCTCTGATCTTGTTTGGGAGGTTCTTTGAGGCACATTTCGTCGTAGAGAGGATCCTCTTCTTGGTCATGGGTGTAATCAACTGTGTTGGTTAATGGTCCTGTCTTCTGACTTCCGCTCGCTATCCCTTCAACTCCAGTAGGTTCTGTTTCTCTTTTAGCAGAAAGACTTTTGAGCCGAAAAGATCGTCTGACTATGCGGTATCTTGATCTCATGATGAGGTAGAGGGCGAGAGAGGCTATGAGGATGAGAAATACGGGAACGGAGATTCCCAGTATGATAACTAATGATTTATCAAATATATTATCTGTCGAATCATCTTCTGAGCTATCTTCGTCGTCCTCATCGTTTGAATCATTTTCATCGTCACTATCCTCTGTTTCACTGTCATCTGTTCCATTTTTATCATTCATTTGCTCGAGTTGCGAGATACAGCAGCTCTGATAATAATCCCAATATGTAACGTATGTAGACCACATATCTTGGCTCCATTTCGATAAATCAGAGGGAAGTTCAGCCAAAACCTTCTGATAGCAAGTTGAAATATTGCTACTATGATTTTGTGAAAGATTTTCTATATGTTGGCACTGTTCTTTCATATATCCTTGGTGATCCAACATAATCTCTCCTGCCCTTCTTAGCTGCCTTATCTGGGTTCCACCTATGAGATATCCATTATCCAGATATATCTTTGTAGCCCCTATCTTAGTCCTTGATGTGTAGATTCCACTGTTCATGTCTTTTTCTTTTGTAAGGTAGATTAAATTGTCTTGTGCCAAAATCATCTCTTTTGAATTTATCTTTAATACATCTTTTGCATCATCAAAGGTTATTACTGCCGATCGACCGATAATTGTCTCAGCTGCAATTACCATAATTATAAACAAGAAGTTTATAAGCATTTCGTAATACTAACACTGTAACCAGCAAACAAACAGAGAAAGTGCAATGTAACGTATTCCAACATGCTATCCTTTTTACTCATCTCACAGTTCAGTTTGGGATCACATGGTGTCTACCTGGTTACTCCGACAACACTGCACCCTGATGTACTAACCCTGGTGTATTTATACTTCTCAATACATGACACGTTGTGTGGGCAGTATTGTTAGTGATTACTCACGTTGTTATGGTGATGTGTTACTCACTCACGTTGTTATGTAATCTACTTCAGCATTACTTCATCTGATTGCAGGTAACTGTGTTACGTGGGGTGTACACTGTTTTGTATTATGAACACTGATAGTAATTATTATATTTTTCGGTTGATTTGTAATTTAAGATGTACAGGTACCAAGCACTAAGTCGGAAATAAAACAGGCATTTTTCAAATTCAAATGTAATCAACCTACTGCTTGAGTATTCACAAATAAAATATTTCTCATCTAAATTGGGACGGGAAATATCGGGAATGTAAGATTTAAATTGGTCAGTGCTAATGTTGATTTGCCTTGCGTGCCCAGTTATAATGCAGTTATTAAATTGAAATTAGAATCGTTATTGATATCTAGAGAAACCGCAATATTTCATTATTGCTCCCTCAAATGTAATGTAAATTAATATAAATTGCTACAATCATGTATAAATAATAGGTACACAAAACAATCTTTTGGAATTTCATCAGTTCTTTTCATACGTAAATCAAGGAAAATTAAGAACTGTCTCTTGAACACATGATAATTTCTACATGAGAGTTAATACTCTAATACTCTAATAATACTCTAATGTTTGTAGAGCTAAAAAGAGCTTCTTCTCGTATTATGTTGTTGATTTGCACTGATAGAGTGTTGCATCAGTCACAGCCGTTCATCTGGAAGAAAGATCGTCTTACTACGCGATATCTTGATCTCATGATAAAGTAAAGAGTTAGAGACGTTACGAGGATGAAACATATCGGAACGGAGATTCCAAGTATCATTGATAATTTATCTGATTTTGGCCCTTTATCCGTATCACGGATATAATCTTTGAGCTCTGTTTCTTTGAAATGAAGATACAGATCCCAACTCTTATCATAGTTGATCCAGGTACCTTGCTCATCTGTTATCTTATCTCTGAAGTTCTGCCATTTCTCAGCATATCTCAGATACATATCCCTGTCCTGATCCCCTGATATGTTTTTGATGTGATCATTTTGATGTATCATCCAAAGTATTTGCTTCTTCATCGCGATTCTGATAAAGGAATTGTTGGTTCTATCGTTATTGGCTCCCTCAATCATCTTCGCCATTTCATCTCCCTTTGATCTTAGTTGGTTCAAATTGATCCTCGATGCATCCAACATTTTCTTTTGGATATCCAAGATTTCTTCCGTCCTGTTGACGAGTGTTTCTTTAGCATTTTCTAAAGAAATAGAACTAAAAACATATCTACAGACTGAAATTCTCGCCAGAACCACAAATAGAAAGCTTAGAACTAACATCCAGTTTCAACTAGTAGACACACATACAATACTCGAATACAATACGGTATAACAAGAACTACCCTATCTTTAGACTAAAGACTAATGATGTAATCTTACTGTTATACAGTGTAACACCCCTGTTTTCAGTACTTTCAAATTAAATCACACCCAGGTTTAGATTACGGACCAGATGGAACTAGCTACGGTGCTTCAATCCTGATAGAAAAGGCCATGGATCCCAGACAAGATGTTATACTTGCTCTAAAAATGAACGGTGAGAACCTGTTAATGTACACTTAATACCCATGTATACGAAGTAGTGGGTATAGTGTGAAGGTAGACTAATCCATATTCATATTTTACCAACACAGTTATGTAACCCAGGAAGATACAACGTGTCTATTTAGTATAATTACTAATCATATTTTAATTAACTAATTAATTGGTTTTACAGGAGAGGAGCTGCCACGAGACCACGGTTACCCAGTCAGACTGGTAGCCCCGGGAGTGGTGGGAGCTCGTAACGTGAAGTGGGTAGGCAGTATTACTCTGAGTGAGGTGGAGAGTTTTAGTCACTGGCAGAGGAGAGACTACAAGGGTGGGTAATGAGTGTAGTGTTGGTAAAGGTGTAGTAAAGGTGTAGTAAAGGTGTAGTAAAGGTGTAGTAAAGGTGTAGTGTTGGTAAAGGTGTAGTAAAGGTGTAGTAAAGGTGTAGTGTTGGTAAAGGTGTAGTAAAGGTGTAGTAAAGGTGTAGTGTTGGTAAAGGTGTAGTAAAGGTGTAGTGTTGGTAAAGGTGTAGTAAAGGTAAAGGTGTAGTAAAGGTGTAGTAAAGGTGTAGTAAAGGTGTAGTAAAGGTGTAGTAAAGGTGTAGTAAAGGTGTAGTAAAGGTGTAGTAAAGGTGTAGTAAAGGTGTAGTGTTGGTAAAGGTGTAGTAAATGTGTAGTATTGGTAAAGGTGTAGTAAGGTGTAGTGTTGGTTAAGGTGTAGTAAAGGTGTAGTAAAGTGTAGTAAGGTGTAGTAAGGGTGTAGTAAAGGTGTAGTAAAGGTGTAGTAAAGGTGTAGTAAAGGTGTAGTAAAGGTGTAGTAAAGGTGTAGTGTTGGTAAAGGTGTAGTAAATGTGTAGTTTAGTAAGGTTGTAGTGTTGGTAAAGGTGTTTGTAGTAAGGTGTAGTGTTGGTAAAGGTGTAGTAAAGGTGTAGTAAAGGTGTAGTAAAGGTGTAGTGTTGGTAAAGGTGTAGTCAAGGTGTAGTAAAGGTGTAGTAAAGGTGTAGTAAAGGTGTAGTATTGGTAAAGGTGTAGTAAAGGTGTAGTAAAGGTGTAGTATTGGTAAAGGTGTAGTAAAGGTGTAGTAAAGGTGTAGTGTTGGTAAAGGTGTAGTAAAGGTGTAGTAAAGGTGTAGCATTGGTGTAGTATTGGTAAAGGTGTAGTAAAGGTGTAGTAAAGGTGTAGTGTTGGTAAAGGTGTAGTAAAGGTGTAGTAAAGGTGTAGCATTGGTTAAGGTGTAGTAAGGTGTAGTGTTGGTTAAGGTGTAGTAAAGGTGTAGTAAAGGTGTAGTAAAGGTGTAGTAAGGGTGTAGTAAAGGTGTAGTAAAGGTGTAGTATTGGTAAAGGTGTAGTAAGGTGTAGTGTTGGTTAAGGTGTAGTAAGTATTACATTGATAGACAGTTGTATACAGGTGTGTTACAATTGTAAAAACTGCAGCTGTGTGTTTGGTAAGGTTGAGTGCATTGTTGAGTTAAAGGTGTAGTCTATTTGGTAAATTCGTAATAGGTTGTATTTTCGTGTTAATTGTTGTATAAAGTGTTATAAGTTTAGTAAGTTGTAGTAACATGTTAGTATTGGAAAGTGTAGTATAAAGGTTAATAGTATTGGTTAGTTATAATAGGTAGTAGTACAGGTTAAGTAAAAGTTGTAGTAAAAGGTTGTGTTATGTAAAGTGTAGTGAATGTTGTAGTTAAAGGTGTAGTATTGGTAAAGGAGTAGATGAAGTGTTAGTGATTGTTAAGGTGTTAGTAAAGGTGTAGTAAAGGTGTAGTAAGGTGTAGTAAAGGTGTAGTAAGGGTTGTAGTAAAGGTGTAGTAAGGGTGTAGTAAAGGTGTAGTAAAGGTGTAGTGTTGGTAAAGGTGTAGTGAATGTGTAGTAAAGGTGTAGTATTGGTAAAGGTGTAGTAAGGTGTAGTGTTGGTTAAGGTGTAGTAAAGGTGTAGTAAAGGTGTAGTAAAGGTGCAGTAAAGGTGTAGTAAAAGTGTAGTAAGGTGTAGTGTTGGTAAAGGTGTGTAGTAAAGGTGTGGAGTCTGGTGGGGAGGTGAGTCATATTGTTATTCTTGACACGTGATAGTGATTCTGGAGTTGATTGATTTATAGCTGTCACGTAAGTAATAATAATATACCTCATCTCTCCACCAGAATCCACATCTTTAGTGCTTTTAATTATGTGATGTTCGTTGTTTTAAATCATCATATTGTTTTAAATCATTTATAAACTGAACAACACTTTAAGCGATTTTCGGATGTTTAGAAAGTTAGTAGCGTTGACTTGCAGAATTAATGGAATATTTAAACTTTCAAAGTGGGCCATTGAACATTTTTGAGTGAATTCAAGGAGTTTTGGAACGGCAATCCCACTCAAAACGTGATAAATATTAAAATTCTAAAGAATAGCATTGAAACATTGCCAAGGAGGCAAGTTTTTGACACGTAAATGTTATAAAATATCCGGTGGTTAGCAAATTTATGCTATATTTCTGTAAATATTCCGTTCTTTGGGACTGCAAAGTTCAAAACTTTTTAATCTCATTCCAATTTCCACACGTTGTTGCGGTCGGCTGGACTGGGAGTTTCAGACTTATTTGTGTTTGAAGCCAGCTTACCGCTGCAATTTCTCCAGAAGATGATAATTGGGCATATAATAGTAACATCTCTATTTCCGCACGTTCGTTTCAGTTTTTTAATTTAATTTCTTGATTTATTTGAATGGTTCGAATATCAAGACTTCCTTTTCTCTAGATTATATTAGTAACTTACATTTCACTCCGCCCAGTTTATCTCCACCATGAGATGCTGCTCAATCATTTAAAAACTGCAGCTAGTCCGCTAGTCTTTTCTGATTTGCTCGGTTCATTCCCGTTGCGCTTAAAGTTAGTTCTATTTTCTAGAGACCCTCCAAAATTCCGTCAAATAATTTTGCTCATCTCTTCAGTTCGTTCACTTAATATTATAGTTCACCCGGATTAATCATTCTGTTCAACTCTATATAATATTGTACTCCTTGTTGTTGAACCCAAGTTACTGATTAGACTGACTGACAGTCCTTGAGATATAAGAAACAGGTCTCCCTACCAAATCCCTCGCGAACCTCTGAAACCTCTTGTTAAAAACCAGGTAGATAACAGGGTTAAGGAACACATTAGCAGACAACAGGTACTGCTGTGTTATCTGAAATGTGTAGGATACAGGATACCCTGATATCACCAGTGCCAGCTTCACAAAGATCGGGATGTAGGAGAGGGTGAAGAGCCAGGAGACGACCATCAGAGAGACGATTGTTCTGGAGAAACCCTTCCCAGCTGATGACGCGCTGGCTCTGCACAGGATAAGGAGTATACCCAGGTTCAGCAGTATAAGCAGAGTTACAGGAGCTACCAGATACACTCCTACTACTATTAGAGAGGGAAGGGGGTAGTCTCGGTAGTTGCTTGAGGTGCACAGGAGAGTGTGAGGTGCGAAGAACACCCCGCACCCCAGCGCCATGTAGCACACAGAGGGAGCTGCTGCCAACACAAACAGTCCCGCTAACACCAACATTGTTACTCTGTAACTCATCCTACCGTTCCTTCTAGCTACCTCACTTACCAGCCCTAATCTCCGTGCTGTAAGCAACACAGTCAGTAATATCTCGTAGAAGAAGAAGATACTGGAGGTGAAGGAGACAAAGTAACAGATCTCAGGACCAAGCACCCACCGGTGATGGAGTATTGTGGTGAGAGTGGGTAGGAATGTAGTGAGAAGGATGAGCACATCACACACCGCTATGTGCTCTATTATCAGTCTGGTTACTAACTCCACGTTGAGTGCTTTGTGAGCATTGGAGGCGTAGAGGAGAAGGGTGTTACCGGGGATACCGAGGAGGAGGAGGAGGAGGTTGTAGGTGAAGATCAGGTGACGGGAGGTGGGGGTTAGGTGCTGGAAGTCGGCTGTGTAGTTCACCATCCTGGCTGGGAGGGTGGTGTTATGTACTGGGACTCAACTGGGGGCTTGGCAACAACTAGATACATAATATAAGGTAGATCAATAAAACATTCTACTATCCCTATGTTCTATGATATCTAGATTGCTAATGGTAAATTAAAAGAAGCAAGATATGAAACTCACAACATGCAACATGAACACCGAGAAATAAGGAAATGATGGAACAAGTTAATTAGGGATCGTTCACATATTATAACGTAATCAGCTGAGGGGGGGGGGGGGTTCCAAATGATTACGCTAGTGCTCTAGTGTAATTTTGACACAATAGCGATGTGTAAAACTGATTACGGAGGGGGGGGGGGATAAAAATGTTCCAAAAAATGATTACGTAATATGTGAACGACCCCTTAACGGCCCTTAACGGCCCTTGTACGACCCCTTAACGGCCCTTGTACACAACTGGATGAAAAGTCTAGGGCGGGCCTGTAATTACCGTTACTACCAGGCACATTAGTACAGGAATATTCCAAGCACGTGTTCTATTGCTCTAGTTAAGTATATTTATTGCGAAATTAGGAATAAGTTTTAGCAGTTGTTGCTAACAACTATGAACGAGCACAACTATATAATATATATTATATTAATATAAGAATATAGATAATGATTAGACTGGTATAGGTCTATTAATTAATAATTAATGATAGTAAAGCTGACTGCCCTTGACTGGAGGCTTTTGATTGGGCGACTCGGACTTGAGTCGTTGTCGGTCGAAAGTCATGTTAAGAGGCTTTTATGTGCCCAAAAATATGATATATACTGTTTTCGAAAATATCTGATTTTAACCTGTTTTAAGATTATTTGATAATCAATAGAACAATTTTGGTAACCAAGTCTTCGATAGCCAAAGCTAGGCAATACACAGAACTTTCATGAGAGTAGAAGATCATGTCAGGGGAATCCTTCATACTCAGCACTCAAAATGGACATAGAATTAGTATGTTTTGACAATAAAACGAAGCTCAGACATATTTTCAATTCTTAAGGTTCGTCCTTTAGTCTTGAGAAGGCAGTTTTTATTTTGAAACCAAGCAGATTGAAGGTGTGTGTATTAAAGCGAGGTTGTTTTTGATATTATTGTCAGCAGTTTTTAGCACAGTACAGTAGGCACTGCACATTCCACAAACATTAATGCGAGCAGAAAATGTACCAAAGCAAAAGTTTGGAGAAATGTTTCATACCTAGCACAAAAAAAACAAGACTTGCTTTCCTCTCCTTTGCAGAAAACATACAAGATATGTTTGAACAATTAAACGGAACAAGCGAATACTCTGTATTTTGAAAGTGCGACATTTAGAGGCCATGACTTAATGTCTGAGAGAAGAGAAAGTATATCATATCACTATCTGCGTGACAGCTCGACAGGGGTGATTTCTGCCGAACTTTAGTTATCGAACTAGGGTACGTGTCAAACTAGAGTAAGTGAATCTCTGTGCGCGTAACTTTGTAAAACTAGGTACACAAATAGTGTGTTATTAACGAATATCAATGTTGAATGGTGATCTAGAACGCTTTGATATATTATGCAAAGTGTAGTACAACGCATAATGAAACATCTGGTCAACGTTTTTAACATCTGGTCAAGAGTCAGGTTTTTGGAAAAATACTGGTCAAGTGAAATCATACTGTCTTACTTGACACTTAAAATCATGACGTGACGGATTGAAATGTCGTAATTTGAAAGGAAATTCGCAATTTTCCGCAAAAAACGAGACACCAAAAGATTAGCCACCGCACATTTCCTCAAAAACTTTCTGTCCCTGCTAGAAATCTGCCACAACACATAACGGTCATAGATCAGACAAGGCTGGTCGGTCGGAGGTCGGTCGGAGGTCGGTCGGGCGCCGGTCGGCGGTAGGTGAACGCCGGTCGGAGGTCGGTCGGAGGTTGGTCGGAGGTTGGTCGGAGGTTGGTCGGAGGTCGGTCGGCGGTAGGTGAACGCCGGTCGGAGGTCGGCCGGTCGGAGGTCGGCCGGTCATAACATCATTGTACATACATGCTACATACATGCTCATAATTATATAATAAAAATATCTGCCCGTGCTTTAATTCATCTCCCGTTAACAAAGGGACTTAGGTTGCGATTCACTTATTCAAAACGTAAGATAACTTTCATACCATTATATTACCAAATCTTGGAAAAGATAACGCGAGTCTACTTTCTACATGTACTAGCTTTGTGTAAATTTACGGAGCGGGGAAGGAGGGTTTGAAATGGCCAAAATCCAGCTGTTTCTTACCCACACAATATCTTTCTACTTCTTCGTCCTCCTTCCTCCTAATAGTCTTGTTAACAAAACTAACAAGACTATTATAGTATTATTAGTCAACAAAACTAACAAGACTATTATTAATCAACAAAACTAACAAGACTATTATTAGTCAACAAAACTAACAAGACTATTATTAGTCAACAAAACTAACAAGACTATTATTAGTCAAAAAAACTAACAAGACTATTATTAGTCAACAAAACTAACAAGACTATTATTAGTCAACAAAACTAACAAGACTATTATTAGTCAACAAAACTAACAAGACTATTATTAGTCAACAAAACTAACAAGACTATATAGCTATAGCCAGTGATGATTGATTAACGCTCAATTACACCTTTGCATGTGTAAATACTATACACTATACAGTTCGTTTCTTCGGAACATTCCAGAAACTACCAATCTCTGAAAGCTACCTTAGCTAGAATTAGAATTAGAATTACACGGCAATACAATAAGATTATTAGATAGCTTAAACAAGCAAAGTTCAGCTGCACCAGCACACCATCGGCGAGAAAATTGTTCTGAATGATCGTCACTAGATTTAAGTGCTACCTACGGTTAGTATTTAAAACTGGTGGGGACTAAAAGCTAGCATATTACAATACCTTTGAATGGGGGACCAGAAAATCTACTGGAATATTTTCAGTTTTCACTGATTTGTACTAGCATATGAACACCTGCTTGTAATTTTGGCAACCGATAAATGATAAAATTATCCCGTCGATTACTGATGATATTATGTGATTAGCATTTTTACCTTATCTAGTGCAGTCACAGTGCAGTCACAGGTGAAACTGGACCAATGTTAAAACAATTATGATATGCCACTGGAAGACTCACATTAGTTTAAAATCTAGAAACAATATAACATAACCATAATATTTTTCTTTCCAGCCCCCGAATAAGCTTGATTCCGAAAGTGCTCAAATTATTTAATAGTTTCTATGGCAGATGTTAAGTCTTTTCTCAACATTGAATGTTATCGACTAGACTACTGGAACAAGGAAAATACTTTGTCGGGTTGTGATGGCTGTTGACTTGTTAAAATTTCGGTAATTTGAAGATTTTGTGGGCCTAATATTCCTGAACTGTGGACTAAATATTTATATGGGTAGTCTTTAAGTCTTTAGACATTTTATTTGGGATGATATATTATTTAATTGGGAGGGCCAGGGGGGGTCTATTTATTCCTCAATGTTAGGTCAATTGGAATTTTGTTCACTCTAATTTAATGATCAATATCTTATTAAAGGGAAATGATTGTCAAGGCAAGGTTGCAAGTTGGTTCTAGGTAATTAAATATTTTAAACAACATAACATGGGATCAAAGCAAAATGGCTTTAAATACTGTACATTAAAATTTTAGAGCTCGTTCACGACAACGAAATCTTCAGAACCTTCAAAGGATTATTCAAGAACATCTGAATTTAAAAGCAGTTTTTTAAATTGAGACAAATGATGCTGAATAAAGTAAAGCTAAGGTAACGAGGGAGTGAGCATTATAATGAACAAAATGTGTTCACTATAAAAATATGAATGAAACTAGTTAGTTAAATTACCTTTTACTGTGAGTTATTAACTATTTATGTAGATAAATGATTAAGTTAATAGTTACGGACTATGAAGGTGTCACAATCAGAAAATACTGGTTAATTAAATATTATCACTGCACCTTGTAATATAATTTCAAGGGGACAACATGAACATTCGAAGTGAAAATAGCATATTAGCTGCCAAAAACAAGGGTGGATAGCACAAAAATAACCTTATTGTTAACATATAATACATGTAATAATACTAGATACATGTAATAATACTAGATCGATCAGACCATTTACTCCTCAATTATATCGCGACAATAGTTTTGTTGGTATACCAGCACCTGGCTCGCCAGATATGGTACATCTAGTATTGATATGGTGTATTATTGCACGAGCAATGAGCACTACTGATAGCTTGATAGTGATCCAACCTCATTACCTGTAATACAGCACCTTAATAGCTCCCATCAATGAAGAGTGTGGCCTTGTTTACCTCATTACCTGTAATACAGCACCTTAATAGCTCCCATCAATGAAGAGTGTGGCCTTGTTTACCTCATTACCTGTAATACAGCACCTTAATAGCTCTCAGCAATGAAGAGTGTGGCCTTGTTTGGAAAACGAGATTTAGGTGCTAAAACAGCAGACGTAACAATCGGTTAACCTTAGGGCTAATCTGGATGATTGTGATATAACATCGTAGGTACATCTTACTGTTTAAGGTAAACATGAGATAACTGTACATAATATTATCTTTTGCGGTGCAGATTGCAGATGTAAGAGCGGCTCTCCAATACATGACCATTATTGACCCCAAAAAACGTTCAGTTTGTTGCATTTGTACAGTTGCTTTGCAAAGTGAAGTCATCTTTTCCTAGTCTTTACGATGACTGTCATTAAAGAGGGGGGGGGGGGGGGGCGAAAAATTCTCATAATGTTTGTCCGTTAATGTCCGTCAATGTCCGCTAATGTCCCAAAAAGCACGCCCGTTGTCTCATAGAATCCAAAAAGGACAGGACATAGGCGGACATGTCACACCCCCCATAATTGTTTCTCCAAAACTCTGGACCGGGTTGTCAGGCTAGGATTGTTTTAAACTTTTAAAGGAATCTTTATTCAAACCACTTTGAAAGAGATTGGAAGAGAAAACTATTGAATATAATTTTGCAGGCAACTTAATCGCAGGTAAATTCTGTGATATGCATTAGTTTCTTATGATTAGTTTTACGATCCAATAAGTGCCATCTTCATTAAAAAGTATAACCTCTTCCTCTTCAGGATTCAACCCAAGTATAGACTGGCACAATGTAGACTTTGACGACAAGTATGCAGTTTCCATACAGAATCAGCCAATCACCAGCATGGTAGGTTAAATATGTAAAATATGTAAAATATAGTGAAAATAGTATTCACTATTCATTCAATGAAAACAAATAGATCACGAAGACAATACGTAAATGTTCCAGAGATAAAATTCCAACCATCATCTCCAAATGTTTTACACTATGAAATTTCTTAAATTTATTTTTAAAAGGCCCAGGGGTAAATATAGGTTAAGCTACGCTTTTCTCAAGACAATCAGATTCAGTTAGCAAATCAAATCATTATCGATGAGACGAAATAATTATGCGCTGCCGCTAGAAATTCAATATGAAAAATAAATACAAAATACAAAAATACAAAAATACAAAAATACAAAAATACAAAAATACAAAAATACAAAAATACAAAAATACAAATGAAAAATTAAATTTAAAACGATCATAATTAACAATCTCAGTTTGGCTGTATCAATTGTAATGCGAGTGCTCTTCAAAATGTTTCGTTTCTTTTCTAATCAACCCACCTGAAATAATGTATAATTCTCATATTAGTTTTCAGCTTGTTTCATCAGAAATGCCGCGTTCAATTTAGTTGGTAAATTATAAAATCAAATTGTTCAGTTTAAATCACATTTTTGTGGTTAATTAGAATTGATTCTAGTTCCAGTCATATATTACCCAAACTTACTAAGATACCTCCACCTTGGACTGCTATTCACTCAAAGAGCGTATCTTTTTTCCGATTCTCGATGAACACTTACCTTACATGTGATATGATTTAAGTTTTAACCAACCTTATCACGCCTTGTCACACCTTATCACACCTTATCACACTGGGCACTCTAAAATGTTGCTGAACCCTGAATCTCATAATCTGAATCTATACAACCTTATAAATTATGATCATAAAATGGCATGACTCTGAGCTGCAACGTCAAAACTATACACTGGGAATTGTGGATATATCAAGTAAATATCAGTTTGTTAGTACTTTTTTGGGAATTAATAGTACTTTATAAAATGTAGGTTTATTAAATGTAAGAATTGCTCCAACCATACCCTATATAGCTAGGAAAACAGTTCTTACATTTAATAATGTTGCAGTTGAATAAATAAAAACTAGTCTGAAATACACGTTACCTATGTTCGGGCAGGGTGATGATTCAATGGTCTGGCAACTAACTGAAATTGTTATGTTGTTTTAGGTTGAGTTTATGATTCCTAGTGGTAACACTTAGACCATTATATATCTGAATACGCAGTGAATAGCACAATATATTGATATCTAGGCGGCCTAGACTAGGCCTCACCACGACAATCAGGAGGTCCGTTTGTAGGAACAATAACTCCGTTCTGACAAGTTGCTCCATCACCTCCCTGGTTGGTGTGACCTGCATCACAGTTCAGGGTTACCTCCACTCCGGGGCCGACTGGTAGTTGTGGTCTCGTCACTACACTCTCCCATGTTGAGTCGAGTGTTGCGCAATCAACAGGTGCTGAAGTGATCAAGGGAGCAAGAGTTAGTTATTCCATCTGTAATATTACGTCTTTTAAGTGGCGTTATGGAAATTTGATTTTTTATCGATTTGAAGTTCAAATTGATTACACCCTTGAATTATTAAAGGTGTTTTAAATGTGAAATTTATAACTAGAAGGAAAGTAAAAGTAAAAGTTTATTGTATGAACAAAGCAATGTTTACCTTTTCTGCCGGTAATCACAATCTCGTACACAGAAAACAATCCTGCGACATTACGCTTTATCTTAACCCTGTCTCCGTTTTTACAGCCGGAAAGAGTGTTGTGGGTAATTTCTCCCTCAGTGTACACTGTGGTAGTGTACTTTCCGCAGAAGGTGCCACCCTCACAGGTACTGCAGTCAGTCATAGAGCAGGTCCAGGTGGGGTAAGGATTATCAGTGCGTCCAATCCATATCACTTGTTCAACACAGTACACCTGGTCTAGAGTCAACTTTAACCAGACAGCACCGTCAGCACCACGCTTTGTCCGGGAATAAGTCTCCAGGTTCAGGTCTATAGAGCAGTAAGCACCGTATTTCTCCTCGTTATCTTGGAATGTGTGGGAGGTCTCAGCACTGACTGGGACTATCTCACCATCCAGTCTTTCTCTCTTAGCTGCGATTTCGAGGATAAGATTTATTGAAAATGTTATAGAGGACCAATGGTAGTAAGATCAGTTATTTTAGGCAAACCATTGAACAATTTGAGTGACTTTTGGAATGTCAAAAGTGATTAGGTTTTTACGTTAAAGAAATCGTTCTTCTCAACCGGTCCGAAAGTTTTAGAAGTTGAAAGTGCAAATAAAGTTTGTGGGTGGAAATTACAGTTACAAAATATAACTTACCGCATAGAGAAATTGAGATGACTTTCAGGAAAACCAATAAAAACATTGAGCTTGTTTCTGAAGGAGTGCAAGTGTAAGGTCAGATATTATATTTGCATTCTTTTGATTTAATTGCAATACTACAATTAATACAATCACGGTGACACTCATTATGATTATTTGGCACAGCCTTTTCAAAATTACTAGTGAGCGAAAGAAAGTCAATATTTACGGGTGGGTCTAAAGATTATGTCTTTAATCAGAAATAAGGGATACGACCTGCAGCTCTCAACTAACGAATAGGATTCCCACAGTGATGTTATTAAAGAGATAAGCCGGGAGAGTTTTTGGGCGCAATTCGAGGGCAATCTCAATAATCATAGTGGTGAGGGACGTACAGACTACAGAGTCTAAAAGTTTCTTTTTGACGGCAAAGGAGCTCGTTCAATTATGGGACTTATTCATGCGTTAACTTACATCTTTAATGAAAGTCTTGCATTAAGGACTAGGATCTAAGGCTTAGTCAACCTAAATGCTAATTTTCAGGGCGTTAGAATAATAGATTGCAGTCAAGAAACCTATCGTGGATGGAGCTTCTTTTATGAGATGGCCAGATGAATTTTAAAGATATGCTCATGTCCTTAGCTTGCCGTGCTGACCTAAATTTATGAAAGGATCATTTGAGCTGAGTGGTGTCAGTGGGAGCCAAGGAGCTGAAAAAGTTCCCACTGTTAAAATCCGGGTGGTGGTGGTTGTTGTTAAGCAGCTACATTGTACTGTTACAGGGACGTAGCCAGGATTTTTCTTTGAGGGGGACTGTCGGCGAGCGAAGCGATCCGACGTGTCCAATCCAGCTGCGCAGCGAGGAAGCTGTGGCAGGGGTCTGGGGGCGCAGCCCCCATCGGGGTCCAGGGGCGGAGCCCCTTGGCGGGGGCTAGGGGGGCGCAGCCCCCCGGAAAATTTTTGCGAAACAGGGTGTTTTAGACGACATTTGGCATTAAAGAAATTTGTAGGACAGCGCAATAAACTGGGATTGAAAAGAATCAAGTACTCACGTAAATTTGGTAACTTCACAACAGCAATCTGCATTCTCCAATCAGAATTTACGACTTACTCAGGCCTCATCGTCTTAAGATTTTTACATTTCCTACGGTCTAGGGGACACTATTGACTATTTATAGAAGTCTTCTAGAATGTTTGCTTGGATGTTATGACAGATATTTACTAATCCACAGTTCAAATCTTTGACTGACTGCAGTCATAAACACAGCCCCCCTAGCCCCCCCCCCCCCCCCCCTGTCTACGTGCCTGTACTGTTATAGCCTCATACCATCAAAGTAGAACAGTCGCATAAAGGAGCTGTAATGAGAAACCAAGTGTTATCAGTTTTACACTTTCAGGTGTGTGATCCGCTTGATGGAGGAACTGTGGAGATTATTGATAACAAGATACATTTGAAGGGTTATGCGTTCAGTGGTGCGGGCGCTAAGGTAAATCTCCCCATTGCATTGCTGCTGATAATTAATGTGAATTATCTTTGAATCATTTACATATTGCACTCTTGTTAAAATATCTAACAAATATGAAATGTGTTATCTTTATGCTCTACATTTACAGGTGATAAGGGTGGACGTTACATTAGACGACGGTGTTACGTGGCAGACTGCTGAGCTGGTACAAGACGACAGTCCTCTTAACCGGTGTTGGTCTTGGTCGCTCTGGGAGGTTCGTATGTTATTCTGATTGCCGAAATTCCTAGCCTTATTACGGAATCTCGGTCTAAGAAGCCCTAATGATCTAGTCCCAAAAGTTGTCCAGAGTTTATTCGACGGTTATGTATGGCGTCGCGACCAATAAAGAACCAAATAATGAAATCTTCCTAACAATTACCGCGCGCGCGTCCGATAATTGCTGATTGGAATGAAATATAATTTTCCACATGTTAGTGTCGTGAAGTAAACAAGAAATGCGGCCACTTTTCTTTTGTGGATGGCCCGCTCAATTTCCCGGTCTGTGATGGCGTATTTTATCATATTCCATACACACTCAAACCTGGGGAGTGGCACAGTGGGCTACCATGCTAGCATAGGCCTAAAATCGACTTTCTTAAATTACTTTGAAAATAAGCTTTCCTTATTGTAAAACGCTAGCCCGATTTCATGCAAAAAACCGTAATTAAAAACTTCGCAAGATGCCAAAATGGCGTCGCGTGAAAAAATAGCATTTTTCACTGTCAAGAAATTTTGCCTTTTTTAGCCAAAAATTGCCTAATATTTATTATTTTGGGCTAAAATGCCTGATCAAGGCAGTTTTTAATAATTGAAATACAGTATAGTACTTAAGAATACTCAGCCATCTAAAAAAAACTGTGTGACTTTAACATTTTCACCTGATTTTTGACCGCGCCTTTTTTATGGCGTGTATTTTAGGCAATTTTTGGGGTATTTAACGACAGAAATCGTTGTTGGTTTGCAATAGTTCGGTATAATGCATGGTATCATCAGAAAGCTTAGACAATTCCCTATCAGATGCAATAAGAATCACTTTGGGAACTTTTGGGGGAATTCTGTTTACAAAATTAAGAAACTCAAAAATTGGGTAAAATTTGCTGCATTTTTAGATAATTTATGAGCTCAATTTTGCTATTAAATTGACATATTTTAGTTATTCTCCATGTTTGTGGCATTTTTTGCATCCTAGACCAGATGCATATGGATGAAAAATCAAAATATCACAATTATTATAGTTAAAATTAATAAAAATCCAAAAAAATCGTGATTTTAAACGAAATTTTTGAAAATAACAGGAACAATTTTGGCGTTTCAGAAAATTTTGGTCATACAAATGGGCACAACTTTTGTTCTGATCTATATTTTTTCATAATTCAAAAAGATTTGAGTTCCTAAGATAGCTGTCCTTCGTTTACAGTTCATAAAAGAGCTTTAAAATTGATTAAACCTCTAAAAAAACAACTTTTTCTGGGATCAGCCTCCTATTTTTGGACGACAAGATTGCTCAAAATCGGCCCAAAAATTTTTTTCTGGGACATTTTCGGCCCTGTAAATGATTGGAATCGTATTTTTGTACCCAAATTACCTTAAAAACAAAGTTAGGGGCATGTGTGATGGTCTAAAATACCCTATGCTAGCATGACCCCCACTCACAGCCCACTGTGAGTGGGGACCCCAGGCTTTACTGTTTATACTTTATAAGCATGCAGATTGACACACGCTGCAACCCCTTTTGATCGCGCCGGCTGGTGTGCAACGAGAGGTGTGCAACGTGAAGCAACATGCAGATATGGCGGAGTGATAGGCCGAGCGCCGCCCAGTTAATTCCATATTAAATTTCAAAATACATTTCTATGTAACACTAACCTGAACCATATGTTTATTGTTTATGCAACCTGATATGACACGGATCTGTGCAAAATTGTAATACTATAATACTAACTCGAAATAATATGCTATCAATTAGTGCCTAGCTAGTTGGATACGTACATGGTGAGATTAACGATTATCTTGATCGGTTCAGCGTCGCGCGCCGATACCAATTTAATTCAGATTTCAGAATATTGCGCAAAATAACTTTGCGGAGTGACAAACTCCGCAAAGTTATAACTAATATGGCACGTACGTTCGCTCGCAGGCACGCTCGCACGACGTCGCAAAGCTACCATATACAAAAAAAACCTCGTTCGCTAACCCTGGCCTTGTCATTGACTCTTTTGTGCCTTCGGCACTTTGAGTCATGGATCTGGAAAAAATAGTTTCGTAAATCTAAACTACGTGATGCATGCAGGTACTAACGTCCAGGACTATTTTAGGGTGATATTGAGTTACCGGAGGGATCAAAACCTGGAGACGAGGTGAAGGTGACGTGTTGTGCTGTGGACTCCAACTACAACAGACAGCCGGAAAAAGTGAAGAATATCTGGAATTTAAGGGGATGTCTCAGCAACTCCTGGCATTTCATTAGTGTCAAACTGAAGTAAATTATTATAAGGTTTAGAAAAGTTAAAGCAGCGAATTACGCTAATTTAAAAAGACTTCGGTTTTAAATGTATGCATCCGTACGGATGATGATTAATCACTCTACACTCGACTGTCACTTGACTTTTTCAACCCGTTCTCTAGCTGGCCGGGCCAGCCTGGTCCTGAACGACTATTCGAAACCCTAACCCTCTAATCTGATCCCATCCCTAACCCTACCCCAATCCCTGACGAAAGCATATGCCGAAACCCTAAACCCAACGAGAAATTAGACCAACTTCCTTATACGGTCATATCACGTGATCGAAACAGTTTTTCGCCAATATCTCGGTAGGGGATCATTTTAACCCTATAGATTAGTATTACTTATGTCATGGGGGTGATTAGGAATCAGCGTCCGAAAATACATCGATTTTTAAAAGAAAAATCTCGAAGGTCGAGTGTAAAGTGATTTAGCACGCTCGCATCGGTACTGCATGGTTACCGTTTTTTGCCGATTTTTACTTACTCATTATGTTAATACATAGTAAAACTGATTAGATTTAAATTTTGGGACCTAGTAAACTTTAAGTAATTAGAATTAACTTATCGCATTTTTGTAATTGGTTACAGTTTGTATCATGTTCTTACTTCATAAGGGGTCGTTCACATATTACGTAATCAATTTTTGAACAGTTTTTACCCCCCCCCCCCCCCCTCCGTAATCAGTTTTACACATAGCTATTATGTCAAAATTACACTAGCGTAATCATTTGGAAACCCCCCTCCCCCCTCGGCTGATTACGTAATACTAATATGTGAATTGTGAACGACCCCTAATGCTGTATAAAATATAGTTTTCGGTAATCTATATTAAATTAAGCCCTTCGATTTAATCTTTAACGTATGTTGCGAGACAAAAAGCCATATGTTCTCATCCACACTTGACACTAGATAACTGAGGTTTCGGCTGTGGTTAAATTTAAATTATTGATATTTGGCTGTTTAGTTAACGCTCGCTTACAACATTTTAACTCTTATTCTAAACTTAGCACTAACACAGGCCCTATCCAATCTATAGAAGGTAACGTATAAGGGTGGGGAGAAAACTTGTGTTTATTATTTTCACTCTGTCCAATAATTTATGATGTTAGATTTACCGCAAACTCCGATTTACCATTTTATTTCCCACACTCCGCAGTAAATCGGGGTTTTACTAACTAATTTGTGTAATACATAAGTGTGATACATAAGTGCTAGCCTATTTTGTAACAGTGTTACTGTTCAATGTTGATATAATTTATAGTTATTTTATCTGTATGTACACATACAGCATAGGCAAATTAATTAAAAATTACGATTTTTAAACCGTGTGTTTTATTTTAAAAATAACTGTATCATTTATTTTGTAGCCTTGGCAACGCGAGCTGCGTTTTAATTTTATATGTTTCGTGCGCGGCGCGGCCCAGAATGCATGTGACATGAACATTAAACAATTAAATTTAAAGGACACTCCTGAATCCCACAAATCAAAACACAAAATGTATTTAAAATTTATGTGCTGCGCCCCCGCTAATTTTTTAATGTCTTCTTCATTCTTAAAATTCACAATTCTGAATTCAGGTTTCCTTTTTCGCCACCCCTACTATGCAGTTTTCCCACTCTATTACTATACACTATAGCAATCCGAAATATTTTTTTCCCGTCAGCCGTCTGATCTAGTCACTTGTCACACGATGTAGACCTACCGCGCACGAGTGCACGGCTGTATCGTGGCTTTCGCCACAATACTACTACTAGTGTGTAGTGAACTTAAAGTTAATGAAACGACAATGGGCCTGGGGGTCACGACGTGATACATAAGTGCTAGCCTTGTATCACGTTGCGACCCCCACGGTCGTTTCACTATAGTGAACTATAGTCCCCCTTTATCGTCCTGACGATACAGGGGGAGCCGCGCACTTCGTGCGCGGCGGGTCAAACAACGTATGACAATGCTAGCCTATTTTGTAATTGTTGCTCGCTCCTCAAAAATACGTCGAAAAGAATCCAGGGTGATGCAGGATAGGAGAGTGCAGACCATAAAGTTTACGCACCCACCCTTGCCTCCTGAATTCTTGGTTGGATAGACAATTATGCAAAATTTGTCGTTTATACTCCAAGTCCCTTTGTTAATAGAAGTAGTCGAGCGTGCTAAATCACTCTACAGTCGATCTTCGAGATTGTTCTAAAAGGGCCCCCCGACAGTTGAAACCAACTACAATTGATGTATTTTTGGGCGCTGATTCCGAATCACCCCCCATAGCATAGGGTTAAAATGCTCCCCTGACGAGATATTGGCGAAAAATTGTCTCGATCACGTGATATGACCGTATAAGGAAGTTAGTCTAATTTCTCGTTAGAGTTAGGGTTTCAGCATATGGTTTTGTTAAGGATTGGGTTAGGTTTAGGGTTGGGATCAGATTATAGGGTTAAAGTTTCGAATAGTCGTTCAGGACCAGCTAGACTTAGTGCTTAGAGAACGGGTTGAAAAAGTCACGTGACAGTTGTATTTGAGTGTAAAGTGATTAATTATCATCCAGAAGTAGTATTATTTATGTCTGGAGTTAGCTTCATTCAATAATAACAATATCAATATATATAATCAATATCAATATCAATATCAGACTAAACTATCAAATAAATAAATTATCAAATATAAATTATTAATTCACTCTGATTAAAAAGTTATAAATTAGGATATTTAATATTTAAGAATTACAACTACAAGTGGTTAAAAACGCCCAAACTCGATCTGAGAGATTTTCAGTCTATACTAGTACAATAATGAAAGCAATTGGCAATAGTTTAAATTATGTGCCACTGCAATTAGATTGAATTACTGTTACTTAAAATTGTTTGGAGTCCAAGTATCTTTTAAGTCAGTTATATCATATATCAATATGCGAAGAGCTAGAAAAGCTCGAAAAGATCGCCGTGCATTGTTCATTGTAATTGCATTGCATTGTTATGGGACTGGCGTGCCAGGTAAACAAATCGAACGTTATATTTATAAAAAACAAACCCAAAATTAAATTCGTGAAAATTGAAAATGCCGCCCGCCCTGCATACATCATAGCGAGTGTATCGAGGGCAGTCGTTTCGCCACTGAGTTAAGCATTATCAATTATAATATATGTAAGGGTAGAAGAACTTTTAAACGAGCAGGTTGCAAATGTTACCTGGGGCTGGGGACCCAAGCTATTATGCTCATAAATAGAGATTCGGCAGAATGACAGGCTGAGCGCCGCCCAGTAAAGCAGGTAATACTGCGAATGTTCAACACGACGGGAAATGCAATGGGCTCTTACTAATTCGCTCGCCCAAAAATCACGTAATTGGAGGACTTCGCCGCTTCGACGCGCCGCGCGAACTAGCATTCTTGCTTCGCATCGAAGCAACGTCGAAGCAACGTCGAAGCAACGTCGAAGCAACGTCGAAGCAACGTCGAAGCAACGTCGAAGCAACGTCGAAGCAACGTCGAAGCAACGTCGAAGCAACGTCGATCGTTGCTCTGCTTCGCAGAGCAACGATCTCGATGGGTTGACATCGTCAACCAAATCACGTAACTGTGGTTATAGGTTTATAACCTACCAAGTGCCAACTGCCAAGACGCGCGCCGACGGTCTTATATTTTGTATTTGAAATTGAAACAAATATTTTACGAGTATCACCCGTTAAGATTTTGGTTTTTATGGTTGAAATGGCTTTGCAGCCAAACAAAACGGTTTTACATAAACCCTAAATCTAATTCCAATCATAACCCCGAAGCTATTCATAACCCTAATTCTAAATAAAACAATAAAATTCGTGTTTTACTAGTCCATAGCCTGTCACGTGACCAAAACAGGTGTTTGCCCATAACTCCCTAGAGAAGCATTTGTACTCTACGCACTACGCCTGTCATTCCGCCGAATGACAGGCTATTATGTTTATGAACATAATATCCTGGGATCCCCAGGTAAGGCCAACAGTAGTATATATAGTTAATAGTGAACCGACGACTCTACAATCGCGCGCATTGTCACGTGTGTGATATATTATGCCAGTGGATTGCACAATAACTTTGCAGAGGGTCGGATGCAGGTTTAACTAGCAGATACATGTGTAGTACGATAGTTATTCCATTCCGTGATTTTACTTTCGCTTTTCTTTAATTTCTGCAATTTCTTGCAACAAGACACTAAAATAACAAGTGAGTTTTGAAAATTGAATCATAATTGTTTTGCAGTTGAACAACAAGACTTATCAGATTTTGGACGAAAGCTAACAGTGTTTACTGTTTATCAATATATCAACCGATACCAATTGATTTATTGGAACTTTCAAATTAATTAGAAATCATCATATTCCTTTCCTATACTTGGTGTGTCAGAAGCCATTATTTCAGATCTGAAAATATGGCAGAAGAGGGACTTCAATCTCCAAAACCTGGCTGGTACGTCTACGAGAAGCCTTATGGCTGGGAGGAAGAGGGCGATCTTACAAAAATAGAAAAGGATTTCAGGAAGGAGATGGGTAGAATGAATCCCGAGGACTACGACTATTCGGAAGATCCAGTTTTAAAGGCGATGAGGCTGGAAGCTGAGGCCGAACACGCAAAAAAGAATTTCCAGACTGGACGCAAACATGCTAAGATGATCAAAGACCACATCGTTGCATCAAGGAAACTTAACTTTGAAAGGAGATCGTCAAAAGCCTCCGTCAGTTCTTATGATACCGAAGACTTCATGAGCCAGCCCGATGAAAGGATTTGGGACGAACAGGGCGAAAAAGCTTGGATGGCAGCTTACAAAAGTAAGGCAAAGAGAAACAAGAAATTGAGGAAAATGCTCGCCAGTGCTCCTGGTCATTCTCCCGTAAAAGCAAAGGTACCATCACCAATAAAAATAGCACAAGCATACGCACAACAAAGCCCCGCTGTGCAAAAAGCTGTAGCAGCAGTACTTGCTGCCAGCCCTCCCCCACCTATCAGCCCCAAGAAGTTTGGAGACATTAACTTAGACAGCAGCGATGATGAGGTTCCTATGCCAACAAACTTCGCCAAAAAGATGTCCATGGCGGGCAAGAAATCTTTCTTTGCTTCTCCATCGAAAGGCAAATCTCCAAGCCCTTACAAGCCATTGCCTCCTGCCATCAAAAAAGCCTTCTTTGCACCACCTGATCTTGATTCAGACTCAGACTCTGATGACATAGATATACCCGGATTCTCGAAAGTTCCTAGCCCCACCAAAAAGTTTAGTGTCAGTAAGAAAGCTTTCTTTGATAGTCCCTCAAAGCAGTAATTGATGGATTAAACGACACCCAAACTGATGTGATTTTAAATTTTTTTAGAGACATAATTATATTACCGATGATGCATTATTGAATTTGACCTTTGATACTTAAAACACTCTTTTATTCTTTCCGTTCAATAAATCATAAATCAATACTATAAGTTTCCAAAGTAAAGTTACTATTTACAACATCACAAAATACATTTTCTTAATATATAAAGTTGAAAGCTTGTCATGAGCACTTAACGATATTCCATAAATTAACGAAATTATAACAAACTTAAAGTTAAACTTAAATGTTAGAGCGTATAACTATATTTATACTAAAACTTCAAAACTCAACGCAACGTATAAAGTTCAGATATACGCATTACTGTTACTATACGTAACGAGGAGGTTGTGGACTTAACTAATAAGTTTAACAGAGGTACCCTCTGCCCCAGTCGATGGTGATACATCAGCGTCAGAGATCAACGGTTTCTTTATAGGTCCTAGTAAAGTGAAACATTTTTCTTCAATGTAGCTTGTTTCCAAGGTGCTAGCTTGTTGAATTCCTCCTTAGGCATTTTAAGCACGTCCACGAATTCTGTGTCACTCAGGTATTTCTGAAAGCGCAATGATTGTCAGTAACAATTTATTTCGAAGGATCACATCAAAATTGAAGTGTTTATAAATTGTGAACTTGTTCTTACAGATAGATTTACCAAAATTCTGCAAATAATGAGATATTTAAGGCCTAAACATTCCCAGTGCAGACTAGACGAATAACTTAAGTGCCGATATATAGATAATTTGATAATTTGTAATGAACAGTTAACAAGAGCTCAATCGGCTATTTCGGTACGGGAGCATTATCTCGAATGCTCTTTACAAATTAGGTCACAATGCCTCGCTGTACAGTTTGATTAAAAACTAGTTTAGTCCTTATATTGATTGCCGTGGAATCATATGGTGTTCAATCGATGCAATGGTTTGTATAGATAAAATATAACAAAACAACCATATAAAATTGTTATTATCGTCTAAAAAGTTCGCCATTTTAGTGGAACACCAATTTGTAATGAACGAGACCTAACAGTCATTACGTTTCCAATCTACAAATAGAGGGTCTGTAACTGACCTGAAGTTGCAACTTGTCTACATGAGCCGGCAACTTGTTTCTGGGGCACCTGACCAAGTCTTGGTAAGAGATAACTTGCGCGTCTTTCAGCTTCTCCTGCAGTTTTAACACTTCTCTGTAAGTCGCGGTCGCTTTTTTGGCCTTCATTGGTTGACCAACTCCTGGAATGGTTAATAATAATAGTTAATTGTTGAAGTAATTTGGTACATAATTTCAAGATTTTAATTATATTAAATACAGGATTGACAATAATTATAAAGAGAATGCCCGGAAGATGATCAGGCCTTATAGTCAGATGGCTTCGAAGGTATATTTCATTGAATACCCAGTCAAACAGATAATCAAATCAAAAGTCTATCATAGTTTTTTAAATGTGCTGTACCCTGAAAGTATGCCATAAATGAGAATCGAGTAAAAATGCCGCCGAATAAATAAGACGCATGCGACGTTCTTTAGAGTTCAATGCAGGGTTCCGTCGTACCGTCCTCCGCTTCAGTTTCTTTCACCGCAGCATCCTCTGCCTGGCCATTCTCTGCTGGGGTGTCATCAGCTGTACTGTCCTCGACTGTAGCCTCGTCTACTGTACTGTCGACCGCCGCAGTGTCTTCCAGTTCCACTGAAGTGTCCTCCACCGTAGTGTCCTCCACCGCGTCCATGAATGTACTAATACCGAAAACAAAAATAATAATAACTATCAATTATGTAGATTTCTATTCATCATTTTTAAGATAATGCTAACGCTATCGAATTTATACAGAGAGATTAGGAAATAATTTGAACTTAAAAACTGTTCTCGCGGAAAAAAAGAAGAAAAAAGAATTAAACTGCGAGTCTTACCATGAGCAATTACATCACCCCCTCATTCTATATTCACGTTTAAATTAAAATGGTGAAATGATGATATAGCATGTTTAAAATTATAATTGGAAAATTTAATTCTTATTTTGATGAATTTAAACAAAGTGGAAAACTAATGTAAATTGATTAGGTTCATTAGGCAATGCACGTTTGCAATTAAGTCTGCAATTACGAGATGAATATATCTTCTATAGAGCCACAACAAACTTGAAAATAAGGTCGAGAAAAGAGGGACAGATGTCTCAAAATAAATTAAATCAATAGAAAACGCGCCGTGCTGTCTTACTCAGGAACTGAACCAATAATAGCAAATTCACAGTATCGAATTGTGCCAACAAAATAGAGCTTTGAACATTCAGTTCGACAGCTGTAAGAATGCACGCAAATTAACTGATTGGGTGGACAATAATGATATGCGCGTGCGTCCTCAGCATGGATATTAATCCAGCGGTTAGTGACCAATAGAGCAACATCTCAGACTATGATGAAGGGCAGAAGTCTGGGTAGTTTGTCAAAAATGAGCCGTAGATTCGCGATATAGCTCGCTGAGTAATGTACTGTGGTGATGATAAAGTTGACAGCCAGCTAATAGCTCAATAGAATTAATTATCGATCTGACGAAATAGGGCTAACTTGACTCACTGTTTTCGGGAGTTGTCCTAAGCCTTATACCAGTGGAGGTGTTGCTCCGGTTAAAGTAGATGGGACGAGACGACCGCTTCGCTTCCGAGTTGTGGATCACGTCAATGCCAGAGTTGACAGATCGGCTTCGTGTTAGATTTACCCCCTACAAAAAGTAAGACGTTACAGAAATATGTGTGTTTACCGTGCATGCAGCTCTATTATGCGAAGAATGCAATCAGCTATCCTAGAAAACGGGGAACCGGGCAAAAATATGGATCAGTGTGGCACCAAGTTGATATAAGGATTCACGAGCAAGGTCCGTCGTATGGGCACAACTTGATCATCCTCAATTACTGGGAAGTTTTGGAGCTTCCCAAGAGAAACTTAGATAGCGGGATAGCAATTAAACATGCTCAAAAAATCCCGAATATGGGAATAAACGTCAACGTACGCAAGATGTGACGTCGCTTTGACTGTTGCTCAGCGATTTGCAAACTTGGCTGATCTTTGCGGCGGTTCCGGCCAAGTCGAAGTTAGGATCGCCTCCGTTAGGAAATGTACTTGCCATCACTGAAAATGGGGTGAAATTCAACATTCTGTCTAGTAATTTAACTGAAATTGAAGTTTAAAACTTACTAAAACACAGACGCCAAAACACTGTCACACTCTCTATTAGTGGAATGAAGCTATACCAGGGACAAAGGGAACATTCCGCTGAGAACAAATAACTAGTAGTAATCTCTAGAGACGAATGAGTTTAAACATGAGCTAGAGAGCCGGTAGCACAGCCCTAGTCTTATGTGTGCTAAACGGGGCTAACACAGATACCTTATACACTAGTAGTAGATCTCTGTGAACATGTTATATTACTAACATGAGCTGAAATCTCCAGGCTGCACAAAACTCAATAATGTAAGAGATTACGACCACATAATACACACAACTTTCCCAACTTTGTAGATAAGTCGTATAAATACTGACTTGAAAGCTTAGTGAACTGTACATTGTACATACACAACGATAAGGCCGTATCCCATCCATGAAGAAATGGTGAACTGTTGCGTTGTGAAAATACAGTGATTGTCAAAGAAACTATACAATGATGAATTTTATGCGGAAACTGATAATTGCTACATTGGTTTACCCGCTTGGTTCACTACTCACTAGTCATTATAAGTATAAAGATCTCTACGATACGGATTAGCAACACCATTCGTACAAATGACTGACAGAGTTGTCAAATTGAGCGAAAATAGTAGACATAACCAGACAGGTTTTAAATGATTATAAATATAGGTCTGCAACCAGAGATTGTCATTAAATAGACAAAACATGAAGTTCACTAATCGGTCTTTGCTATCCAAGAGCATTACTTTCCCTTCTCTAATAGCTCAGATTGGACACAAATTTGACTGACAGTATCTATAAACTGACCGCTTACATTTTAGTTTTTAACTAATTAATTACAACAGTAAAAATCTATTACATTTATGGAGTATTATGTATCGTGATGGAAACGTTTTATGCGGGTAAAATCCAGCCTAAACCCTGGTTCCATAACATGAAGGCCTAGTTTTAATTTGAAAAGCATACTGACCGACAGCAAGGCTGGCAGCTGATCCGGATCTAGCAAGTCTGTCCACGTGGGTATTAGTCTGGGAACCAATGCTGCTCTGAACCATCTTATTCTCTCTGTTACTGTCACTGCTTAGGTTCCTCGCTCTGCTTGGGTGTCTGGAGATTGAGAGGTGGGGATCAGAGAATTTACAGGACTAGACGGTGTTGGGGACAATATTTGGAAACTGTCATGGTGAACACGCGAGTTTGACATTCGGGTTCGGAAGATTCTCAGAATTCAGATGTATTTTGAGACTTCAATTTATAAAGATATTTGTGGGCCAATTACCTGACACTGTCGGGCACGTGGTTGTCCACGTAGTTTCCATTGACTCCGAATGCGGCCTCACTGAAGGACTGACAGTAGGGGGAGGTGGAGCGTGGACGGTCTTCCACTGGGTCGGGGGAGGTCTTCTTCCACGTTGGCTGGAACATTTCTGGGGTTTTTCTTGCACTCACTGTAGAATGTAGATGGTATTAAGTTACACGCGGTTTTCCCTCTACTTGTCTCTAGCAGTTCTATCACATATGTTAAAACTAGAAAAATGGTTTTTAAACCACCCCTCCCACCCTCTGACGTTAAGATCGTTAATCCTGTCAAAACTTCCCAGTCTAATCACGATATGGAGTACCAGCACCCTTCAAACAGCCGCCGACATTTGCCTTAAATTAAATTATCGACAGTTTCTTTGAGATCATTTTAATTTCCGATGAACTTGTAAACCTGGTTTGAGAGTTCCATCATACAGGCCAGAATCTGTTGAAACCCAACTTCTGCTCTGTTTTGTTAGTTTGCCAGGGTGAGTTGCACACTCGCAGTCATGGCTGAAATATATTGTTTCAAGTTCCCGCACATCAAGTAGTTAGTGTTTAGTGGCTGGAAAGTGGACGTTTATGAGTATGATTGTAAATATATTCGGGCATGTTCCTGTAGAAATAACAAAACAATTCTAGTAGTTACAGAACTGCCGGAATTAAGAGATTTAGCAACAACTCAGTCGAACAGAAATGAAGAACGTATGTTAATGAGTAATGGTTAAAGCCAAAGAGAATGGACATTGGACAGCAGGACAGGGAGGACGCTGTGTAAGCCAGTATATGGAACGAAGTGTGTGTTATATATACAAACAAAGCTAACAGACCAGGTAGCCGGCCCCCCTATAGAGATTCTAATTAACCAGTCTAATTTATTACCTTTCTCCTCCTGGATCAGCTAGATTCTCTACACTCCCTAGGTACTTTGACTCAGGTCCCGGAGAGATGGGTCTTCTTCTGCTGTCAACTGAAATGATACCAGGGTTACGGAATGCGAGTCTTGGCGGGCAGCTCTTTGGTCATAACTCTAGTGAGAGTTTTTCGGCAAAACTATAAATCGTAGATTGCACATGCCAGTCTTAGTATGTGTCATGGTAAATTGTAAGTTATGCATGTCAACAGTTTCAAATGTCGCAGTTAATTGCTAGGCGCAAAAATAACTCTAACTTATAAGATTTAATATTTATGGGTATCGATCACTTAGTACTCAATTTTATGAATTATGCATTAAGGGTGGCACATTGAATTGATTAATATTTACTATGTAACGGTCGCGGTAGACATGTCAATGTTCGTATTATATAACAGTAAGATAATATAAGTGAGCTCCACTATTTATAGAAATAATCGTACGTGATCAAATAGACGACATATTATTCATAATTCCGAGATTACAGAAAAGAGAATCGATCGATTGACGATTCCTTAGAATCTTTCAGCTTACGATAGGAAGCCAATATATTCAAGATTCCGTGATCACAAGGAAAAGAATTTATCGATTCTTTAGAATTTTAGAATTCGGCTACTTACGATAAGAAGCCGGAGTCAAATAGAACATCAATATCTTCTAGAACAATCTACGGGGAAACACCACAGCCCCTAACCATCTAAAATCAAATGAGAGTATGACTTCCTATAGTCACAATGTATATAATGTTAATCCGGTTTGCTCGCTGCTAATATAGGGAAAATGCAGCTTGATTTACCATACGTCGGAACCCTCCGCTGGTAATTTAAATTAACAATCACAACGCTCCTGGTCCCGCATTATCGAGCATATTTAATTAAATCGAGGTTATTATTAAACGCTAGAGTCGTCGTCCGTGAAATGAAACTTTAATCAAGAGAACATTATAATTCTGTCCGACTAACCAACCAACGGCACACAACGCAAGAAGTATAATTAAGAGATAAAACTAAACCAACTTCATGATAAAACGTAACGAAGTTTAAAACGTCTCGCTCTAAGAGTAAGCCAGTAAGTGTGGAGCTGAGACCAAGTGGAGTGGAGATAGAATATCAGGAACACATGCTGGCATGGAACATGATATCTCACATCAGCTCACACTAGCTCCCCAGTGTGAGTACCGCTACTTCTCACTTTAAATATGTGTATTATGATTTTATATGACAGGTCTTTAGGGTATAAGTATCACATAATATGGTGATGGTACTGTGCTTGAAAGGTATGTGCTGGTGAGTAGCCTAGCATGACAGCACTCATTATGGAGAGGGTAGAGGGATGATGAGTACTGATCATCACAATGGTGTAGAGCTATTCAACATCCAGAGGATTGGAATTGCAAAAAGAAGATTAAAATTGCGCAAGGAACAGTCCTTACTCCTTAATCAGATAAGAACAAGCTCAGATCATATGAATAAAATTGCACAATATTTTGATGGTGGATGGAGAAATAAATCAGGTGATTGAAAGTCTAGGGACAGCTGCACCATGTCCACAAGTTCTTGAACAATCTGAGAATTACATTAGGCGACAAGGTGGAGTCACTGGTCTTAACGGTCACCATAAGGTTAACATACGGTCACTACACGGCTACGGTTCGGTGCTTTGGTAACAATAGAATGTATATTATAACAATGTGTGTAAACTTATCGAGACAATCCAGCTTCTGTTTATTACAAGGAGGATTGCGCAGACCGAGACCCCCAGAGTCTGCGGCCCCTTAATCTATGCTGATTAGGGGTCGTACCAGGAGCCAGGGGGACTTTCCAATTCAACTGGTAACAATAGAAGATCACGAATTAAGCTGAAATAGCTGGAAAAACAATTTTACAATGATACTCCAAAATTTAAAACAGAGATGAGTCGGACGAATGAAAAGGCTAACAAAATAAATGGTTTACTTTTATAAAATAAGATAGAGCACGGTAAACGTGGTAAAGGTAGAAGGATGAGCATCTAGCCTGCTTACGTATGAGTTAATGAGCATCTAGCTGGTTACTTTATACACTGTATCTCATGGCAAAAAGACTACCGGGGTCTCCTGACGTAATTATTATTCATGTTATACACAGAGTGGGCATCTGTAATAACTACTGTACAGTGTTAAGAAACACGTAAGAGAGGAGTGTGGTATTATGAGAGGTTATGAGATGGGTGGTAGAGTTATAACTCCTGCGGTTGTCATGACTACGAGTGTTTAGTTTTACAGTTTATACTGTAATATCACGCTTCCTCTTGTCTAGACGCGTTTAAATAACAAGTAACGTCTTAAATCTCATGTTTATAATATCATGTTTATAATATCATGTTTATAATATCATGTTTATAATATCATGTTTATAATATCACGTTTATAATATCACGTTTATAATATCATGTTTATAATATCATGTTTATAATATCATGTTTATAATATCATGTTTATAATATCATGTTTATAATATCATGTTTATAATATCATGTTTATAATATCATGTTTATAATATCATGTTTATAATCCGAAACTGAATTATGATTTTCTTTACATCAAAGAAAGCGTTATAACAAACGAACAGGAATAGAACAACACGCACAATAAACTGGTATCTCTGAAGAGTAAGCTCACAATCTGAAGGATTAATCCTGTTATATATATATATAATAGGCAGGTTCTTAAAGTTATAAGATTTGTTAAGATCAGTATTAAGTTATAAGGAACATATTAAAAGTGTTATAAGGAACATATTAAAGTTATAAGGAACATATTAAAGGTGACGAGCAACAGACGTCAAACAAGATCAAACATTAAACTGGCAAGGGGGTTAACTCATAATTAATGCAAAAGTCATAAAGACGCATAAAATACAAAGTTCAATAACTACAAAGGTAAATTATGATAATGAAACCACATCCAGTGTAAACTACAGCTGCCGTCCACGCAGTGAGAAGTTAATATAATACTCCACACTTACAACTACCGTTTACTAAAAGTATAGTTTACTATAGTTTATTGGGCGTAACTGTAGTTTAATTGAACTAGTAGAGGCACAATTAATAAACAGAGGTTATTGATACAACAGCAAATGTAACTGCAACTTAGAGAACATTTAGTCCAGAACAAAAGAAAACAACAGTCCTTATACTGTTGTTATAGGCTGAGAAATTATGTAAACGTACTAGACAAAAGGACAGGACCCTCCAATGTTAACTGTGGAGGAGGAAGTGAAAGTTAGTAGGGCGGCGTGGTTCGGGTCAACATTGAGCCGGAACAGTGATGAATAACCACCTCATTTGCTTGAATACCTCATATGAGTCGTGCTGATTGGGTACTTGTTCGGCTCTAATAGAGCTACAGACTAGTTAGCATGCAGCTGACTACCGGGCACCTAATCAGTTAATGAGGTGGTCAGTCGATCCTGCAGCTGCTGAGCCTTGAAACTTTGGGACTCGGTTTCAAATTCTGAACACGAGGAAATATTTTTAAATGGAAAAAATGTCCTAAGTTCTTTAATAAATCAAATCAGTGCCTATCTGACTGAGGCGTGGATTGGCCAACTGAAAAAGTTCCTAAAGAAGTTTAGTCCCAAACAAAAGAAAACAAAAGAAATCACAACAGTCCTTAAGAGATTGAGAAATTGTGTATACGTAGACAAAAGGGCAGGTCCCCAGTGTTACCAGTGGTAAGCGGAAGTGAAAGTGAGTCTAGGGCGGCGTGGTTCGGGTCAACTTTCAGCCGGAACTAACACGACAATTAAAACTAACAAGACTGTTAGTTGTTACTTCAGTGGTTCTTTGAAGAGGAGCCTTTATATCAATAACTAAGAGTCGAACTTTAGGGTTTGTCGAACTACAGAGCATGTCGTACGTGTACCTAAATAAATAATAAGCTGCGTACAAAGAGCGACGGAAAATCCTTGAACCTAACGAAAGTGTAGCTAAAAATAATTCAGGACTGACATATTACATAATACCTGAGCTACGGAAACTGAAGATGACGTTCGTAAATCTATAAATTAAATTAAGGGCCTCAACTGAGTAAGTGTAATTGAGTTGTTATTTTAAGGTCACGTAACTCCCTATTAGCTCTGTAGTGCCCAACAAAAAGGGCGGGCGTTTTAAAATGTAACATCGGGAACAAATATTGTGTGGATCAGATGCAGGTATACCGGGATATGGGTATAGTGTGAACCTACAATGTCATGGTGATAACCAGCATGATAACGGTAACAGTGATAACCGGGGATCGGATATTTGCTAGTATACTGGACGGTAATTGTTAATCGGACATATCTAAAACTTAAAAGTACTGCTGAGTATTAGTCTATCCATTATCGGTATGAAATCTTTTATCTAGATAAACAGATAAAGATTTAGGTTTTATCTAGATAAAACCGATAAAACCGATAATTTTTCTGCTGAAGGCCAAAGCCAAAATGTTTTCCAAATTTCGCAAAAACTAATTGTCGACTTTTATTACTGTTTACCAGTAATCTTGCTAAAGTACCACTTCCTTTCTTTCGAAAATATTAGAGCATCAGTTTTCTTCTCCGGGGAGCAGAAGTGCACCAGTTTTCTTCAAAACAGTAGACCAACGGTTTTCTTCTCCTAAGAACAGTAGTGTACCAGTTCTCTTCAAAACAGTAGACTAAGGGTTTCCTTCTCCTGAGAACAGTAGTGTACTACCAGTTCTCTTCAAAACAGTAGACCAACGGTTTCCTTCTCCTGAGAACAGTAACGCACTATTTCTCTTCAAAACAGTAGACCCCACCGGTTTTCTTCTCCTGAGAACAGTAACGCAATAGTTCTCTTCAAAACAGTAGACCACCGGTTTCCTTCTCATGAGAACAGTAGTGCACCAGTTTTCTTCAAAACAGTAGACCAAGGGTTTCCTTCTCCTGAGAACAGTAGTAACTTGGAGCAACAGATTCCTTCTCCTGAAAACAATGTTTCACGCCCAGAACACTTACAGAATTAAATTGAGTGCCCTGCCGGTATTTTTTACTCTTGTTAACAGTTACATGCTC